CATTCTGTTTTTTTTGTTTTAAATTTCTAGATGGCTTTATGTTTTTTCTATAGAAGTCATATATTTGATTCACGACATCTTATCAAAGTGAATAGACAGAAGAAATCAAATAGAATCTTGTGTGTTTGATACAACTATAAGCAACCAAACCATACATTAGGTTACTAAAATCTATCCTCGGTGTGTTCAAATTCACCAATGTACCATTTTTCATTTCTATAAAATGTACCTAACTAGCGTTTGCCTACCTGAAGCACGTGTAAAATATGTTAGAATTATAAGTAATACAATTTGACGACATAATAAAAATAATAGACAGCAGCAAGCAATCACATATTAGTTGAGGTGTGCTAGAACCATTGCAGGTGTTGTTATATTGCTAATTGAATCCATATCCCTGGGGTGGACCAGTTTTGCAACGAAACTGGTACAGAAGATGATAAGTTGCAGCGAATAGATTCTGCATATAAAATATAATTCATTGTAAGATACTATCAAAAAGAACAATAATTGTAACGAATGTGGAAACCATGAACAAAAACCAAAAGAACACAAAAGTAAGAGGATGAAGCAAATATGTAATCTCATCATCACACTCTGGAAGTTCTGTTCTCCTACTTGTTTAACTTCCATGAAGAGGATTGTGAGTGACATCTGGGCAGTTTTGAAAACCTGAATATTTGTGCAAGATGTATACTCGAGGACCTTGTGGATTTGAGGCAATAGACAAATTCCATGGCTGAAAATGACATAGTGTATTAGGTTAAATTTAAAACTAACTGCAATAACATAGCGGAGTTGTACTAACTGGATGAAAGAAGATAAGCCATGAAGCACACTGATTGTTTGAAGATCCATAATTGGAGTGAATGCCTGCAGAGTGACTACCAGTAGTAGGAAATAAGAAGGTTAATGAGGAAGCATGCTGGCACTGCCCTCCATCAGCGACTTTGACAAAAGAAATTTGTCACGTTTGATGGCAATCCCGAGAAAATGTTCGATTGTGTTTGCAGTAGCATGAGCACCAACCCCAGGGCATGGAATACATGCAAAGTGTACACTGAAGTATTAACAGGGGAAAAATTGTCCAGTTGGCCCCGATAGCTGCTGAAGCATTATCCCAAAGAGTGAAATAGACATATCTAAGAGGATCGTTCATTACCTAAGAGTTCAATGTTTACTGGGTTGACCCTGCCACGCCTGCGCGTGAAAACTCGTTGTCACGCAGCCATGCAATCTTATCCCCTGCAAAACCGATAAATATTAGATGCAAAGTGTTTCCGCATTAAAACTCAAATTATCCTTTAATTAGAAGTGTCTGAAACATGGGTGTGAAATCATACTGTAACAAATAGGAAAAAACCAAAAAAGATGTATTCAAACCCAAATCACACCGATTTGACGATTCACATGTGCTCTTAAAACTACAAAAGAGTATAACAATTTAGTATACCTTATATATATGGTCAGCAACGAAACGGAATAACATATATATTCCTCTAAATCATCATAATAAATGCTATTCATCTAGAAGTGCACGTGATTAAGAATTGAGGATAGATTCGCCGAAACAAAAAAAAATAACCAAATTAATAGTTAGTAACATTACTAAAATGCATTTAAGGTTAGCAACCAGTATATAAATGTATATACAAATTCAGACGTTTACTTTTCAGAGACATTTAATCACAGATGAGTGAAATCAACATCAATGATTCAATAGTAAAGAAACATACAGAAAAATGAAAAGAAGAAAATACTTGTAGTTCAATGCCCCCACACAATTGACAACCCACACACAATGATGGTCCATTTTCAGCACACACCTCCCACCTGAAAATAATATACAGAAAAAAAGAGAGTAATATATCTGATTTATTTTCTCTGAAACAATTGGAAAAGAAAACAGTCTCAAGAAGAATTGGGTATACGAACTCACAAATAGAACAATGATGGCACCGAGGTGGTTTCGGCTGGTTGCACTTCCGACAATAACGGATCCTTGGATTCACTGGGTTTGCTGACATACCACCCAATTCTGCCTCAGTCAATGGATCGGTCTCACCTCTCTCCTTATCCGACGCAGGCCTCCAATTAGGTGGCACACTGCCCGGATCGGTAAAGACAACAGCAAAGTAACTCCACAATAGCATTACTAACTGCACAATTATTATGATTACATGACTCTTTAGCTACCGTTTGCATATAAATATATCAGCTGCCACTTTTTGGTTTTTGGAAATAAAAGTCAAAACTGCATAACCCTGTTCTTGTCCGGGTCTCAATTAATTCAAGAAAAATACAGAAATCAATATATCCCAAACTCTTAATGACATTATAGAGCTAATATATTACTAAAATTGTCAAAGACCTTCAATCAAGTAATTAATACATAATGAAAGACAGTGATATTTTCATATGACTGATGATGAGTGAAAATTGAGAGATAAGTTCCTTCAATCAATCCAATTGTAATTAATAATTTCTAAACATAAAAAATAATAAAACAAACCCATTTCCCTATCCCCATTCCCTGTCACAAAAATCTCTATAGCCCTCTTTGTTTTGTGCTTCTTAAACACAACAGGCTAACACTACTTTAATTAGTTTCAACAACTTAGAAAAAAAAAATCAAAATAAAAAAAAAGAAAAAGTTATTGGAGCCAAAAATTCAATTATGTGTGACCCAATTCATTGGGCCTGATCTATATTTTTCAACCCAAAAGTTAATAATCAAGAAGCAAAACTTAAATATACCTCTCTCCTAATTTTTAAATAATAATTTTTTTTCTTAACATATGTAAATTATTTTTGTCGCATAGATTATAAACAGAAAGTGCATAAAAAGTTACAACAACCTTATAAAGCACACCAAAGAGGACAATAAGTGTGAACCGTATGACACTTTAGAAAGCCTCAGGTGATCAATGTGAACGCGTAGTCATAAAGCAAAGGCTCAAGTGATTTAAGCACATACTTTTCAAAAATTATGAAGGAGTAAGAATTTTTAGACAAAAAAGCTCAAGCAGGTTTGCGTACCCAAAAGTAAAAAAAAAAAGGGGGGGGGGAAAGAATTTTAATTTGAATACACACTTTTTTGTGGAATTACAAGAGGGTGGAGTATAACTAAAAGAGAGGTTGATGGTAAGTTTAAAATAGTGAGAATAACTACTCATACAATGCAAAGAGAAGTGGCAACTTTAAAAGAAAATCATTTAAATGGAAAAGAAATTATTGGACAATGTTAAATTAAAGTGAGTGGTGCATGACACTGTTCTATGAAGGTAGACTCATATTCCAAAATCTGCTATTCAAAAAATATGGAAAAACAAGAGACCTATGAAACCTGAAAGGCAATGCCATATAAACAGATTTCCAAATGGGAGTGAGATCAAAATCATTTTACCATCAATTTCACAATTAAACAATTGATGTTGTCTCCATAGTTCAAAAGTAAATGGAAGTAGCATTTTTCTTCTAATATAACAAGCTATCTTCACACAACAGTCTCATTCCATGGTGACAAATCAACAAATAAGGAAGAGTAATGGCAGATTTTTTTAATTAGGTTAGTCTTTTGTGATCAATTTAAGGAAGAGTATAACAATGTATATATTAATTTTAATGCCCTTCCTAGTAGCTACATTCATGTTCAAAAGTATATATTAATTTTAATTAGGTTAGTCTTTTGTGATCAATTTAAGGAAGAGTATAACAATGTATATATTAATTTTAATGCCCTTCCTAGTAGCTACATTCATGTTCAAAAGTATATATTAATTTTAATTAGGTTAGTCTTTTGTGATCAATTTAAGGAAGAGTATAACAATGTATATATTAATTTTAATGCCCTTCCTAGTAGCTACATTCATGTTCAAAAGTATATATTAATTTTAATTAGGTTAGTCTTTTGTGATCAATTTAAGGAAGAGTATAACAATGTATATATTAATTTTAATGCCCTTCCTAGTAGCTACATTCATGTTCAAAAGTATATATTAATTTTAATTAGGTTAGTCTTTTGTGATCAATTTAAGGAAGAGTATAACAATGTATATATTAATTTTAATGCCCTTCCTAGTAGCTACATTCATGTTCAAAAGTATATATTAATTTTAATTAGGTTAGTCTTTTGTGATCAATTTAAGGAAGAGTATAACAATGTATATATTAATTTTAATGCCCTTCCTAGTAGCTACATTCATGTTCAAAAGTATATATTAATTTTAATTAGGTTAGTCTTTTGTGATCAATTTAAGGAAGAGTATAACAATGTATATATTAATTTTAATGCCCTTCCTAGTAGCTACATTCATGTTCAAAAGTATATATTAATTTTAATTAGGTTAGTCTTTTGTGATCAATTTAAGGAAGAGTATAACAATGTATATATTAATTTTAATGCCCTTCCTAGTAGCTACATTCATGTTCAAAAGTATATATTAATTTTAATTAGGTTAGTCTTTTGTGATCAATTTCTTTGTGTATCCTTGCTAATTGTCAAAACCCAACAATGTATATTATTAGAGACTTGAATGTAAACTTTATTTATTAAGAAGGTGACAACAGTTTCGCTTGATTAAAACAATAGGTGATCATTGAGAAGAGATTTTATATGTTTAGATCTTATATATACTAATTCAAAGGGAGTACAAACTATATTTACTCACCCCAAAAGAAGGGGAAAAAAATTTTTTGTCAAGCACACAAACTCTATACTAACAACCCAGGTGGACTTTGACTTTATGTAATTGTTTATGATGAAACTCTCTAGTGGAAATTGATGAGGTACTTAAGAGCAATGCTATATAAATAAACAAAATTTACAAGTTTATTTTACAAACTGATGTGGAAAGTTATCAAGTTATAATTTAATCACTAGAATTACAATGGGTTTGTTTGGTGCAGCTCATCAAAATTGCTTATATATATATATATATATTATTCTGGGAGTCTGAGCCACACTGTTTGGTGCATTTTTACTTACATCTTATTAAACATAAGTAGTTTAAATAATTGGAAAAAAATTGATTAGTTGGAAGATTGGTGCTTTTGATTTCTATTTCCTAATTATTAACTTTTAATTTATAATAAGCTACACCAAATACTAGACAATCATATTACTCCAACAATACATATAAACCTAAAAACTAACACAAATAATCAACAAGTCCCATTTTACACACAACAGTTTTATTTTGCATGCTATATAAGTTTGTAAAAAAATTAATATCTACCAAAGTTTTAGTTAATTACTGTTCTCTCTCCATGACCAAGTTTTAGTTAATATCTACCAAGTTGTTCTCTCTCCAGTAACATCATAGAACGGACATTTTTGTTCTATTGATACCAACAACCATGACCCGTCCTATCCAATATTCAAACAACTAATTTATCTTCCCTTCCGAACATTTTCTTGGCAAACAAATTGGAAACATAATATTTTATTTATCAGAACCGCATGTAGAAGGATACCCAGTTCACATCAGCTCAGAAGATCAAAAATCGCTGTTTAAAAACGATTCAAGAAGTCCATAAAAAAAGAAAGCCCCATTTTGGCTATTTTCACCGACTATACTTGGTTCGGATTCAAATTTTAACAACTAAAGGAAAAATCAATGGCATCAAAATTTAGAGAAAAACCATAAAGATTGAAGTTTGTGGAACAAAAAATGTTAAATAGAAAACAGTTTAAGTATAAACCCATTAAACGCATATAAATTTTTCAGAGTTTTCGGTTAAATGAATTAAAACCCTAAGAACAACATAGAATTAATAGCAAATTAATTAAAGATGAACAATAATTTAGTTGGTTCAATTATAGGATTGTGATGCACCAGAACATGAGATTTTACGATAAACATCGTAAATTAAGTGGATCAGAAAACTGAAAATTGAGAGAGAGAGAGAGAGAGAGAGAGAGACGTACCCATTTGTGAGAGTTTAAGAAGGCCGTGGATTTGGTAGCTGAAGAAGGAAGGGACGGATGAGAAACGTATGGGTTCGGCGAGAACCACTGTTCCTTTAGCCACGAAGCTGTAGATCAAAGACCGTTGCCCCATCTCTCTTACACTCAAAACCCTAAAACCTAGAGAGACAAATGGGTAGAGAGATAAACGGAAGGAGAGATTGGGGATTTTGGGTTTTTCAGGGGGGATTTTGGTTGAAGAGGTTGGGGTTTTGGGGGGGGCCGGGGGGAGAACCCGATTGGGGATTTGGTTGAACAGATTGGGGATTTTGGGTTTTTGGGGGAGGGGGAGGGGGAGCGGGAATGGAAAACAAGAAACAGATTGTAAATGTTTTTTGGATTTTTTTTTATTTTTATTTTCATTACAAATAAATATTTAAATAATAAAATGATTTTTTTTTTTTTTGCAACAGAGGATGTCATTGCTAAAAAAAATTATTTTTTATTAAAATAATTTTTTTATAGTTAATGAATTTTTATTTTTATTTTTTCATTTAGTAAGGTTAAAAATTTATTTGTTTCATATTTATTTTAATGACTAAAAAATTATTTTTTTTTATTTGGTAGAAGTAGGGATAATATTTTCCATTCAAATAAAGTTAATTTTTTGTGGTCAATGTGGCATTTGCAGTAGTGGTGAATGTGGTAGAGAAAATGGGTGGTGAAAGAGATGAGTGAGAGACAGATAGAGAAGAGAGATAGAGAGAGAGAAAGAGAGACAGACAGATAGACAAAGACAAAGTGATGAGCGAGAGAGAAACAAAGTGGTCGCTCAAAGCGCATTTTCTTGTAGTGGAGAGCTCGGTAAATAGAGAAGAGATGAGGGAGAGAGTGAGCAAGGTGAACACAATGAGGGAGAGAGACAAGCAGACAGACAGACACATAGAGAGAAAGAGAGAGAGAGAGAGAAAAGCGAAAGACAGACAAACAGACATAGAGAGAGAAAGAGAGAGAGAGAAGAGTGATAAGTGAGAGAGAGACAAACAGAGAAAGAGATATAGAGAGAGATATAGGGAGACAGAGAGAGAAACAGATAGAGAGACATATAGAAAAATAAGAGAAACAATAAGTGAGCGAGAGATAGACAGAGTGAGAGAGAAAGAGAGCGAAAAGAGATAAACGAGAGAGAGACAGAAAGAGATGAGCGAGAGAGAAAAAAAGAAGAGAGAGAGAAGAGAGACAGAGAGAGAAGATAGATGAAAGAGATAGAGAGAAGAGAGATGGACGAGAGACACAGAGAAAAAGAGAGACAGACAGACAGACAGACAGAGAAGAGTGATGAGTGAGAGAGAAAAAGAGAAGAGAGACAAAGACACAGAGAGAAAGAGAGAGACAAACAGACAGAGAAGAGTGATGAGTGAGAGAGAGACAGAGACACATAGAGAAAGGGAGAGATAGACAGACAGAGAAAAGTGATGAGTAAGAGAGAAAAAGAGAAGAGAGACAGAGACAGAGAGATAGGAAGATGAAAAAATGGGTGAAAAGAGAAATGTTCAAAAGAGTAAGACGACGTCGTTTATAATGGATCGATAAATCGAGAATGAGCTCGATAAATAGAGAAGATGGGAGTAAGAGAGTGAGCAAGGCAAACATAGTGAGGGAGAAATAGACAAGTAAAGAGAGAGAGAGAGAGAGAGAGAGAGAGAGAGAGAGACAGAGAGAGAAGAGTGATGAGTGAGAGAGAGACAGGGAGAGAGAGATAGACAGAAAAAGAGAAAGAGAGAGAAAGAGAGAGAGAGAGAGAGAGAGAGAGATAGAGATAGAAGGAAAGATAGAAAAAGAGAGAGAAACAACAGATGAGCAAGAGATAGACAAAAAAAGAGAGAAATAGAGCGAAAAGAGATGAGCGAGAGAGAGACACAGAAAAAGAGAAAGACAGAGAGAGAAGAGAAATGGACGAGAAAGATAAAAAGATAAGAGAGAGAGAGAGAGAAAAGAAATGAGAGAGATAGAGAGATGAGCGAGAGAGATAGAGAGAGAAAACAGATGAGAGAGATAGAGAGAAGAGAGATAGGCGAGAGACACAGAGAGAAAATGAGAGAGAGAAACAGACAGACAGAGAAAGAAGAGTGATGAGTGAAAGAGATAAAGAGAAGAGAGAGAGAGATAGAGACAGAGAGACATGAAGATGAAAAAATGAATGAAAAGAGAAATGTTATATCAAAAGAGTAAGAATACATTGTTTTTTTAAATTTTTTTTGCGATAGAAAAAAGTACTAGAATTTATTCAAACCATTTTGTGGCTGTATATATATGAAGCTGTCTCAAAACAACAATCATTATGATAGGTTAGAGTTTTCCAAAAACTCTTTTGAGAAAATTATACTTTCTTGTGTTTCCGTGTTATATTGTTTTTACTGAATTTTTTTAATATTTTAAGTATTTTTTTTTAATTTTTAGACACACCTAACATAAATAAACCTAAAAATTTTAAAAATTGTAAAAAAAATCTTTTAAAAATTCACTAAATACCAAAAATACAATAATTCAATACATTTTTTTTTGTATTTTTATGTATTTATTAACTTTTAAAAATATTTTTTCATAATTTTTTTTTTTAGATACATCTAAGGTGCATCTAAAAAAAAATTCAAAATTTTAAAAATATTCACTAAAAATTAACAAAAAACACGAAAGTCACTTTTTGCGACGGCAGAAAATGCCGTCTCAAAAAAGCAGAGTATTTGCGACGGCACCAAATGCCGTCTCAAAAAAGCAGAGCATTTGCGACGGCACAATTTGTCGTCTCAAAAAAGCAAAGACGGCATTTGGTGCCGTCGCAAATACTCTGTTTTTTTGAGACGGCATTTTCTGCCGTCGCAAAAAGTGACTTTTTGAGACGGCAAGTGTGCCGTCGCAAATTGTCCCGTCTCATATACCCACTTTTCTTGTAGTGACACCTTTTGATTTTGTTATGCTATTAACATGCTGTTCATATCCCTTTACAATAAGTAACATGCATGCTTCGGTTTATTATTTTATAATCATTATAATATTAGTGAAGAATATTACTTCCTCCTATATGCCATATAATTGAATGAATATAAAATTATTATTTAAATAGACGGTTGGAGCATAGATTAAAAGCAATTTGTTGAATCATTCGGTCTATTAAAGAATTATGATTTTACCTCATCTGATTATATACACTTATTGTTTATTATTGTTGATATTTATATATTTTCATGATTTAAATTTGATATCATGATATAATTTTATGACATTGAATATTAAATATTGGAGTTGTTAATTTATATTAGGTGTAATTCTTATTGACCATTATATGAGATATTCATGATTGTTATATTACACAATTTGATATATAAATATTCATATTCGTCCAGAGTTATTATTATTATTATATTGGTAATTGCAATCACGAAAAAGAAATTCTAGAAATCATAAATAGTGATTTCATTAAAATAGTGATTGAATTAACGATAATTAAATAACCCAAATTAATGAATAGAGAATATTGTTGGTTAGTTCTGTATTCATAAAGATTACTAATTTAGTAGCTGCCAAAGTGGCCTAGATTTGTAAAACTTATGAATATAGAACTACATAAAAGAATTGTTAAAATGGTAATATTAAGGTCGATAATATTCTCAATTGCAATTGAGACTAGCCCAAAGGAGAGTCACTTTCAAATAATTATGAACTGGGTAGGGTAATGTAATTTTTGTAATTTGATTGATTAGAATTGAATACCCAAAGGTAACATGACTAGCTAAAAAGTTGCATAAATTACTTTAGACCTACATAAGTGATTCTTGACGAGTGGACAATAGATATACCTAAGTTTTGCCCAAAGGAAAGACTTACATGATATCAATAGTTCATCATAATTCTCAAAGCTTTAATATGTATATTATTCTATCTTATTTCAGTGATAGTTCCCACCTCATTGCACTCTCTTGCATCGGGCGTCCTTCTACTTATTGGCTCAAATTTTTTGAAATGGTATGAACATGTTCAGTTTACACTGGGTGTGTTGGACCTCGATATGGCATTGCTTGAAGATAAACCTGCAGACATTAATGAATATAGTACTGCAGAACAAGTTACCCTTTTTGAATCTTGGAAAAGGTCCAATAGACTCAGTTTGATGTTCATGAAGATGACCATTGCAAATAACATCAAGACCTCCTTACCTCAAACTGTTAATGCATTGGAATACTTAAAGGCTGTTGAAGATCAATTTAGATCTGCTGACAAGTCACTTGCTGGCACTATTATGGCTGAATTGACAACAATGAAATATGATGGCAACCGAGGAGTTTAGGATCACATTCTCAATATGGTTGACAAAGTTGCAAAGCTTAAAACTTTAGGGATGCAAGTTGATGAAACTTTCCTCGTGCAGTTTATTCTCAACTCACTTCCATCACAATTTGGTGCTTTCAAAATTCACTATAACACCAATAAAGATAAGTGGAGTTTGAATGAGCTGACTAATATGTGTGTTCAGGAAGAAGTGAGATTGAGGGAGGAAGGACGTCAAACTGCATTGGCAGTAACTCATGGAGCTATAAAGAAAAATAATGGTAAGTTTTTAAAATCAAAGAAAAATCAACCAAGAAAAAGAATGAATCTGGGAAAGAAAATCAGGCTCAGAATGGTTTCACTATCAAGTGCTACTTTTGTGGCAAGAAGGGATATGTGAAAAAAGACTGCAGCAAACGAAAGGCTTGGTTCGAAAAGAAAGGTAAGAAATTTTCTTTTGTTTGTTATGAATCAAATCTTGCTGAAGTACCTTCTAATACTTGGTGGATTGACTCTGAAGCCACGACCCACATTACAAATGACATGCAGGGATACCTCTCAACCAGGAAACCGATGGAAAGTGAAAGATTTGTCTATATGGGGAACTGTCTCAAAGCTAAAGTCGTAGCTGTAGGAACCTACTGAATGATCTTAAAAACGGGTCATCAGATGGATCTAGAAGGCACTTTTTATGTTCCTTCAATTTCTAGGAATTTAGGCCTCGTTTGGGAACATGCTAATTTAGTAACTATTTGGCTAAAATATGAGCTAAAAAAAACTAGTATGTTTGGAATGATTTTTTGACTTTTTACAAAAAGATGAGCAA